AAATAACAGTTTTGTTCTGAAGCAAAATAACTTACCAGTAATTAATGTTGGAACATTGGTGAATAATGATTCTACTAAAAGAAACGTGAGACTATTGGTTGCCATGATGTGCTGTTTGTGGAAAAACAGAAACTCATTTATTCACTTAAAAAATTCTTCAGTACTATACAGTATTACGTCACGGACTGTTATTTCACTTACTTCATGATCGATAGAATTCATTGTTGAAAGAACTTTATTTAAATCATCTTTATTACCTTCAAACAGGGTAAAAGTATCGTCTACGTAGCTGAACCATGCCGGGAAGTTTAAAGTTTCAAACAATTTTGATTCATAATAATGCATGTAGATATCAGCCAGGATGGAACTGAGGGGGCTTCCCATGGCTAATCCCTCAGTTTCCATGTAATATTTATTTTGGAAAACAAAATGTGTTTGTTTCAAACAGAGTTGAGTGAGAGAAATTAGCTCATCAATTTCGATGCAAGAGAAATTAAATTCGCGAAGTTTGGTTTCTAGACATCTTAATGCACCCTCCACTGGAACATTGGTGAATAATGATTTTAAGTCAAAAGAAACCATGAGTAAATTTCTAGGAGAAATGTTTTTAATTTTTTTTACAAACTCTATTGATTTTTTATGGTGTAAATGTTATTGTCTAATAGAGTTGAAAATCTAGAAATTAAATATTTAGGTAATGGATACGAGGCAGTACCTAATTTTGATACAATAGGGCGGAAAGAAATACCACTTTTATGAATTTATCTCTTTCTTATCTTATATAATCATTATATCCTATCGGTTTTGCAGCTGAGGATGGTGGTTCGGTAAAACCATCGAAACTAGTCCTGTGAAAATTTTGAAAATATAACGCTGATTTTTGTTGTTTGACTTCTGAATTAGTATTTGTTCCGCGTGTTATTGTGTCTTAAGTTAATGTATATAAATTATTTAAATAAAGATAAAAAAACACACATAAAATACAGTAAATAAATAAATGAAAATGTCTTTTGTTTAAAAAACATTAAAAGCATTATATTACATTATTATTTGCTTCTACCAAATTTCAAACCAACAAACACAAAAATTTGCAAAATTTTGCATCAATGCTTACATAACATAGTGTTCGAATAGCATAACGCAGAGCTGTTCAATCCTTTCGCCAGCGTGAGCTACTCTTTTACTGTGTGGGACGTTGCAGTTTATAGTAAGCCATCGGCCTCCATCGACGGATTTAACAACACTATATGAAGCCTAAAAGTTATCGTTGGAATCTAGCATGTAATGACATACATTTCAAACACTTTGCCACCTCTAGCTTACATGGTTAGGAAGAGTTTCAACACTGCTACTGTGCCACAATACATTGCTTGTATCTAACATTGCTCTTTTCAAACTTTTGAAACAGTTTACAATGGTTATTTTAGGAACATAATTACAAACCTTCAAACAATATACATGAAGCTGTGCATTTATCTAAACAAAATTATCTAATATCAAGTTTTCAGCACGGTGAAATTCACAGTATCAAAATGTCGAGTGAAATAATAATTTCAGACTAGTGCAGACCCGAAGCGACAGAGAAGGTAATGATCGTATTGGAATGGATTGTTTAATTAAGAGAAAAAAATTTCATTCTGTCTCACACAGTTCCATATCAGGTTTTGTGACAAGAATCACAAAGATAAGAATATCAGACCTCTTTGACACCACGAATTCTTTGGAACGTTTGCTCCTGCTTATGCGCAACATTTTGCCTCACGAACTTTAGGGTCATACTATGTTTTTCCTAAGGATTCCAGACTTGAACAAACAAAAAGTCAATGTATAAAAAAGACTTTTATAACATATCATTTTAAAAGCATTTCCATGCATTATGTAACATTTGTTTTTTTGAATTTAATAATGCATTGCAAAAGTACAAAATACAATACAAATACTTAATATATGTGTTTTATTAAATAACATTGTAAAATTAAAACCTACTAGAAAAAGACTTATGAGGCCCAGTAGTGCAGTGGCTAGCGCATCGCGTAGCAGCATCACAGCTCCGAAGTTCCATACCCTGGATGGACATAATTGGCTCAGCCTTTCATCCCTTAAGTGGGTCGATAAAATAAGTAAGAAGTTTGCTTAGAGGCTAAACATAGGGGGTCCTGCGACAGACAGACAGACAGAAGTACAGGAGGCACCAAAACATCGCCATGGGCAAAACTGGTATCGCCCCACTGCACTAACCATCTATAGAAGTGTACCCTGACAGGGCACGCTAACACCATGCTCGGGAATTAGTTTACATTGCAGCAAGCAGCTTTTATAATACACTGTTATATATTAATGGTGCATAATTTGCATTGCAGACAATATTCTCTCAGATATACTTTACACGGGTACTTTGCAGTTGGATGGATAGATACAATAATTACAATGGATAATTACAATAAGTTATTTACTTATGTATATACATATTTCTTTTGTGTTTCGGTTTGGAGCTTTGTTTGTGGGGAGTGTTTATGGTATGTGATTCGTTGTTTATTTGGTTTACACGATTCACAGTTTATAAGTTATCATTCATAGTGCAGTTCATAATACAGCATACAGTTTATGAATTCATTTCATGGTACATAGTGTTGAGTACGTAGCACTGGTGCATCTGTCACACATTGCACAGTATGAAGTAGTTCATAGTTCGTGGTGTGAGAAAAAGTTACGGTTGTCTCAATAAATGGATATATTTAAGTGTGTTTTCTAAAGGCACTCCTGTATAGTATGAGGGTGAGAGTGGATATTCTTATTGTTGCGTTTTATGAACTTAGACTTGGGGTTGTAAGCTATGGATGACACAGGTCCAGTCCTTGGCGGTGTAAGAAATCAATAATATTTTTGATGTTTTGGAAGGGTTCCTGCGACAAGTTGACCACTTGTCAAAGGTGAACAAAAGGGTCCACGGTCAAGAAAACAGATATTAGCGCACTGCAGGCTATGGCTGAATAAGGGCCATCGTACCAACATGCAGTTACATTTCGTTCTTTTGTAATAAAACATATTTTATTGCGAAAGAATGTTTACAACGTTTATGCTTTTTGCATAATGAAATATAATGGTCGTTCTTCAAGAAAACTGCTAAAGTCAGATTCATGAATTTTACCTTCCCCCTGTAGTATACTTTCTAAACGTAGTATTCAAAAAAATCTTTAAAAAAAGGAGCCTTCCCTTGTTACTACATTTTAAGCAATTACGAATTAGATAAGCCTATTTTAAAAACACACCAAAATCTTTAGTCTGTATATTACACATAACAATAAAATGTATACTAATCCATAAGTAATAAAATTACAATTAGATTTATCTCCTATTGTACAATGAAAGAACATGCTTGGGAATATAAGTCCTAGAAAAAAAACATTAATTTAGACTAGAAGAGAAACACGCTAATGTGACAATCAAAACCGTGAAAAACAACCTTATATTTAGCGTAGTCTATAATAAAACACTCAATCGATTTCGAGGGCAGCTAAAGGTCCCTCCTCATCAGGAGAAAGAAATACATAGAAAGAAGAAAATAGGAATCACAGAAACACGTGGTGCTTATCAGCACTGCACGTCGTTATAACTAGATTTTTAATCAGAGTTGCACTGGCCGCCTAATTTTACTGAGCCAGGCTGTCTGATCAAGCATAAAGAAATATTAGCGAAGTTAAAATAGGGAGCGAGGGGCAAATGCACATTACGCTCAAAATCTGAACTTCAAATAATAGTCTAGTTAAATAATGGTCAAATAATGGTCAAAATCTAGTTATAACGACGTGCAGTGCTGATAAGCACCACGTGTTTCTGTGATTCCTATTTTCTTCTTTCTATGTATTTCTTTCTCCTGATGAGGAGGGACCTTTAGCTGCCCTCGAAATCGATTGAGTGTTTTATTATAGACTACGCTAAATATAAGGTTGTTTTTCACGGTTTTGAAACATTAATTTGTATACATAAAGACGAAATTTTCATTAAAACAAATTCTCACCGTGATATGCGAGAATCTTACAATTATGTAAATAAAGTAATTTCTCGAATATCTAAAATTAAATATGCATATTTCAGAGGCCAGGATCACTATTCAAATCTCTCAACCTGAATTGCCTCCCTTACTAACAGATTTCGAATCTTTAAATCAGTTTGTGTTTATAGCTAGCCCAGTACTACTACCTGTTTTCTCAAGGGGTCAATAATCCATAACAAAACGCATTTATTATTAAACTAATTACGTTCCTGAGAGTAAAGCGATAAAATCAGACCTACGTTTTGTTAGCAAGAAAAACTTAAAAAAGAAAAATAGTGTGAGTTTTATTTCTATAGCAATCAAAGGCCCTTAAACTGAATAAGGCGGTGGTCTCAAACTCAAAACTACACATAGGCCAAGTGCCTGATCTAAAAGAAGCTGACGGGTGGCAATTAAATAATAATAATAATAATAATAATAATAATAATAATGAAAAGCTTTTTCTTGTTGTTAACAAAATAAAATTTGTTAGCAACAGCAATATATATGTAGTAGTAAAAAATGTTACTACTTATCTTTCAAAATTTACATATAAAAATGATGCAAAGAAAACTTTCAAATTTATATATTTTTTCTGCCTGAAAGCTAAAGATTGGTACCAGCAGGAAATGTTTATTTCTCAGAATTTGTAATTCATATGTATTGAAAGCTAAATACTATTAAAATGTTCAGACTGACATTTATTCAAATAATTGTAATACATCGGAATAACGATTAAATAACGTACTTTTAATTTAAACTATAAAGAAGTACACGAAAACTTCCCAAGAGAGACAAAACTCGAGATTAAGTTATCACAACAGACCTCTAACAACATGTAACACATCAATACCTTTAGATTTTGCAAAAATTCCTTTCTTTTAGCAGCTCAAATGAGTACAAATATTTTTATACATACCTCCGATTTCACTTTTTGTTTAAATTTCCCCTCTTTTTTTACAGGTTTCCAGACCTCCCAAAGCTGAATGGCAGTAAAAGAGAAAGCCCATCGACACCAGCCGTTTCAAGTATGCCACACATTATTATAGAAGCGTCTCAAGAAACAGTTTCCCCACCGCCTCTCTTTCCATCGGAAGGTCCACCAATGTCTCCTACAGTTACCGGTGGCATACCTGAAGAAGATGCTGAAGATGATGACGAGCAAGAGGAAGATGATGACCCAGCACGAGAAGCAGAGGATGAAGAAGATGATGAATTCGTAGAACATGTTACCCACTCCATTGTTCCTAGACGGTTGACCATATCGTCGGATCTGAATGTGTATTCAAACGATGGAATTGTATCCCCTCCTAGCAAAATGCCTATAGTAGCTGTTGTGCTAGCTGACTCACAATCTCCGAGATTTTTTCACCAACAAGTACGCCGGACATCGGTCAAAAGTTCCAGAGCAACCGGATTTGGTTCCAGTACTTCTTTATCAGAAAGTGGTGCCAAAGGTAGCGAACAAGAAAGCAGTGAAATGTACAAGGTTACCTCTTCCATGAAAAAGAAAAATAGGTTAAAAGGTCGTTTGCCACTGAGACAACATGTACATTTAGCAGCACGGCCGTTACCCTCAGATGCCGAGAGACAAAAAAGGCGATTAGCTAAGGCACGAGAACGCAGAGCAACTCTCATTCTCGGTCTCATAATGGCCGCATTTATTTTGGCCTGGCTGCCGTTTTTTGTTCTATACGTTTTGGAAGCTCTGTGCGCCAGTTGTAATATTGAACCCACTGGCTTTGCAACAGCGTTCTGGTTAGGATATTGTAATTCTGCATTAAACCCAATAATCTACACTATATTTAACAGAGACTTCCGGAGAGCTTTCAAGAAAATTCTTTTAAAATAATGCTAATAACCAAGTAATATTATTCTCCGTAAAATTTATAACTGCAATTTTGTAATGAAGAGAATATTCTGCACTTTTAAATATATTGTCTTCCACATAACAGCTTTTGAACAAAGTGCCTGCGATTCTTTGTACATCCATCCTTTGACATTCACCTCCCATGATTACGTTTTAAGTGGAAACTTAAACTGTTTCACCAAACTATCATTCGCCATCAGTTCCAGTTATAGTACAAAATTAAGGCAATACTGTTACCTATCCACTCTTTACTCATCTCTTTGTCATTTAATTTCCTAAACCCATTATTAATCATGTGTAGCATTTTATATCATCAAAACGTCATCTGGAGATAAAAATTAATACTTACAAATAGTAAATAACTTCTTTTTAATTTAACAAATCGAATTTATTTTAATAATTAATTCAATTTGCTATATTATAAGTAACTGGTAACCGCGACTCTTATTTATCACATACAAATATTAAGTAAGGAAACAAATGCAAATCGTTTTAGTCTTTTTATTATATACTACTATTTCAAAATGATATCAGATTTTCAGTGACTTCCCTTCTCTGCTTTTTCTTTTTACTTCTGAACAATCTGAGCTATGTAGGTAAATGAGAGAAAAAATTTCCTTTTTTATAAAATAAAATTGTTAATTATTTTAATTTATTCATTATATTTTAATACTAGTTTTCACTATGCAAAGGAAAAAAAAATACATTCAAGAAAGTAATAATTAAAAATTTGGCGGTAAATCCCTACCAGCACCCGAACTGAATTTCCCTAAATTTTGGAGTTTCTCAATTTTGAAGAAGAAAAATATAATTTTATCAAAAACTAGTTTGTAAAGAATTTTGAAATTCGTTCTTTTATGTCATTTGAAGCTGAAATATATAAGGTACTCTTTGAATCGTATTTTTCTAGAAATATTTAGCAGACTTTATTTTTCATTACATTTCTTTTTAAAATTAGATTTTATGGTAGAAACTAGTTTCAAAACTAAGTGGTATAAATTTGTTGAAAATTGATTGATCGTTAATACATATCTTTGTTCCTGCATTAATTGCAGTCCTTATTTTTCTGTTTCTTCTTCCGTTTAAAGTGTAATCTTGTAGAGACATTAGGTTATTTCAAAGCAGGAGACAAGAGAAATGTGCAGTGCCCTCGCCGGGACTCGAATCTCGGACCTCTCGAATACGCTTCGAGTGTGCTGGCCATTACACCACGAAGGCACGCTACGAAGGCGGGATAAATACCTTATATACTCTCCCTTTTAAAGAGCGACTGGGGATTAGGTGACCAAGTCGGCAAATCCTGGTGGTGTAGAATCCTCATCCATCATTTTTTATACTACGATCGCCACTGTAGAGACATTAGGTTATTTCGAAGCAGGAGACATGAGAAATGTGCAATGCCGTCGCCGGGACTCGAACCTCGGACATCTTGAATACGCGTCGAGTGTGCTGGCCATTACACCACGAAGGCATGTTAAGAAGGCAGGAGAAATACCTTATAATCTTAAGGAATATATTATACTCTAATGACTGAGAAATTCCACTTCACTTTAAAGCTTCCCTTTTCCATCAAAAATTATGAAAAATCATTTATTTACTAAATATAGCGCCAAAGTACTTATTGTTTAATTCGCATTTTGTATATTAGCTATATTTGTTTCAGTTCAAGATGAGAAAAATATAGTCCTCTATATATTTCTCATATTGAAATGAGGGAAATATGATCTAACAGCACCTAGCTTGATGGAATATATTTAAGCAATTAGCAATTAAAAAGCAGTTATATTTTGTGAAAATATTCAACTTTGAGGTTTGTAAATCTGCAATGGTATTAATTACAAGTTAGTAACTACTTTTAGAAGCAGTTTGGAATACGTTACCTTCGTAGTTTTTATGTAAGCATACGTATGCTAAAGAAATTTTACCTTTATTTTAGAGATCGATGTATATTTTTAATTACGAAATTTGATCACAGCGAATAACAAAAGTTCTTCAGCTAGAGTATTTCGCCATAAATTTTGGGATATGTCTTTGAAACTGAAATCCTTTCTTTCGTTTTTTAACTATCAGTTATCTACTATCGACTACCCATTTTGCCGCTTTTAAACGTAAAGATTTTCCGTATTTCTCTTAGCAAATTATCACATCTTTAAAGGAGTCCAAAGGAATACAATTGACGAGCCGCATTTCGCATGCGGTAGATAATTATTAATATTTTCCCATATAAAGTTCTCTCTCATCAGTTTATAAGGTAAAGAACCCTTGACAATAGGTATGCACTAGTGGCCAATAGATACGCACTATTATCTCAAATTTTATGCAAATATAATAAAAAATAAATTAATAATCTTCCAACAACAAAAATGTAAATGTAATTAATTTTTTAAATAAGTTAAAGCCTGATTAAGTTTCATTTTTAATTATTCAATTATAATAATTTTTTTAATATTTTTAATTGAAGCTATGAAATTTGTAAAAACATTATCATAAAATTAAAATAATTTGTTTTAAATTTTGAAACATTTCTGTACGCTATAACAATATGCAAGAAAAAAATTTATAATATAAAGTTAAAACAACATCGCAACTTCTCACTAACAGCATATCATAACATCATGTCTAATTGTCTCTGAACACTTTTAAATAGTTATAAAAGCGTTTAAAAATATTACCAAATAAATATATTAAAAGAGTAGTATATTACATTTATAAAAAAAGATTTGAGTGAAAACTAGATCATACAGCATGGTTGAGTGCATCAATATTTTAAAAAGTAAGAAACCTCGCTCATTCATGAAATTAATTAAGCTTCTCTGAAGTACAATGTATTTTAATTCAGCACCTTTTAATGATTTACCTTCAAAATTAAATAACTGCAATTCTATTATTTCTTTAATCTCAAATACATATAGGTTTGATCACCAAGTTGGTACTTTTTGCAAATATAAGCAGTTTTGCTTTTATTTTATTCTTGGCTACTTTTTGCTTATATATGATTATATATATATCCTTACATTTAAGTTTTTGATTGCACTTTGCTAATGAAAACGAATAAGTTGGTGATAGTACTGAACAATTTTATGTTAATACATGTGCTTTCATCTGTATTTCCTTAAATAGGATTTCTGTTTTGGTAATTAAGTAGCAGTATAAATGTGTAGAGTCGCAAAAATTACTCTAAGATTAGTCTAAATTACTCTCTTTCAGAAGTACACTGTTTTCAAAAGCCTTTGTTTGGGCAATTTAATTAGCAAGATATAAGTGTGAATTTAATAAATGATAAAATATTTCGGAAAACTTTCAATATGCAATGAAATAAATACCCTCGAAAAATAACTTGACTTAATAGAAACTGTGATGCAAAAATGCTTTGTGAACGGAAAGTGAAACAATTTATAAATTACTTCATACCAGTTTTAAAAGCAGAGGAAATAATAGATATTTTTTCTCATTTCCGAACTTTGGATACAATTTTCTGTACTAATAATGTTTTCCAAAGCCATTGTTTTAAATGCATTTCTCAAGAGTAAAGACTAGAGTATTTTAAGAATTATGTAATGAAAAATGTTACATTCTATATTAATATTTTATCTTGAAATGAAAAAAGTTGCATTCTATATTAATATTTTGTACATAAATAATGTTGTTATATAAACTTCTTGAGAACATATCAGATATCATACCAGTGGGATCTGGAATCAATTACAAAGAAGTAAAACAAGGGCAGAAAGTTTCTTCATACTTGCATAATGATTGCCTTTCATAAGTAAAGCAGATAAATAGTCTTATAATATTATATTTGAAGTTATCTGAAGTGAATTTTAATAACATTATTATGATGTGGACGGTATTAAAATTAAGATCATGAAAATCATTGCCTTGTAGTATACTAATATTCTCCTAAACTCATTCTAAGACACAACAGTATGTCATCAATATTGACTGTCTGTTGTTTTAAATCCAAGAAGAAAAGTTAATACTCATTTTAAAGCATCCAGTCAAAGCTCTTCTTAGAAATGCTGTAAACATTGTTGCTTGGTTTTAATCTCCAGAGATCTTTACGCACGTGTAGTTCTTTAAAATGATGTTAATAACGTATTTTTTTAAGAGTCATGTATTTTAAATGTTAAAAAATACCAAAAATATAATACATTTTAAAGCTTTTTTTAATCTGTACATCTAATTGGTTTTTTACGGTGAAATTTTGTACACTTATTTCGATAACCTTGATATTGCATGTTTTCCTATCACTTATATTCTAAATATTAACTATTTTAGATAAAATATAAAACAAGTATCTTCATCGGTGATACAAAATTCTAATATGTAATGCACGCAGCATTATGGATAAACAAATCAATAATTTTAGCTGATTTTTGTATATTTAAAACGACCTATTTTAAAAATAATAGAATTATATTTTCCTAATTTCTCTAATAGGAGTAAAGAAATATTATAATATATTAATGTGTTAAAATTTATAAGTATGCATAACTATACGTTTAAAACATACTGCAGACATAATCACTATAATATTAAGTAAAACACTGAAAGGTCAAAAGTTAAAATTTTCATACGATTTAAGTTTAGGTATAGTATTAATAGTTCTTACGTCAGAAGCCCAATAATTGGCTAAGATACGGTTTTTTTCAAAATTAATGAATATTCTTAAAATTTAGAGAAATCATACAGGTAATCAGAAAAATCACATTTGAAACACACTTCACAAATCTTAATTCAAAGATTAATTGCTTCGGAAATGCATTACTTTCCTAAAATTAATAAGTACGGAGATAGGTATGTTAATAAGTTCAATTTTCTATCATGCATAACTACATAGTTGTATAAAATTGTACACAGATGCATTTATGTATAGTTCAGAGGATTTGATGCTGAAATTTAAATGCAAACTAAACTCTAAATAAGCCATCTGCTCCTCTGAAACAAACACTAAAGCATTAGAACTATTTCTCACCATAACTTTCGTTCAAGATCGGATTTTTACATAGGGTTTGTTTTAAAATGTAAGTATACGTATAACTGGCATTTGACATTAAAGCATATAACAAACTTTCGAGTGTTTTACTTATTTAAAGATACCTGACTCTTTAAAGAAATATGCATTAACTTCAGAGAAGCTAGATATAATATTTGCATTGTATAAGCTTTAATTGATGACCTAGACATTAGGTTTGTTCAATTACTATCTTAAAATTACAATTTCAATTACTACAAATAAATTACTAAATGGATTCTGGTATGAAACGCTTGAAGCTGAAACCAGAAGTTATGAACGTGTGAACTGATAAAAAAGTTAAATGGCTGTGACTTTTTAGCCAGTAAAATATATCATTTAACTTCTTACATGTGTACTAAGTGGGAAAATATGAACGGTATGAAAATCCAGGAGCTGAAAAGAAAACAAATGTACATTTAAACAGTACTGTTAACGATTACTGTTTAGAATAAGAGTTATCGAAATTTTAAGAACGTATTTTATTGCATTTCATTCAAAAAGACCGAGTAAGATACTCTAGGACATCTTTCACCTAAATAGAGTTAGAAGAAATTTTTCTTGAGTTCTGCTCATTTCATAAGCCCACTGTAAAGCAAAATCAGGGGTTTTAGTCCTTCATACATTTTACTTTGATTTTAATAAATATAATTTTATAATATTATTCAAAGGACGGTTTCAAATAATTGGGGGTATTTTTTCAATCGACAAAACTCAAACGTACGATCTAAAGCATAATTAATACAGTTCA